CACGTTGACACGTTTGCACGTTGACACGTTTGCACGTTGACACGTTTGCACGTTGACACGTTTGCAGATTGACACGTTTGCACGTTGACACGTTTGCACGTTTGCACATTGACACGTTTGCACGTTGACACGTTTGCACGTTGACACGTTTGCACGTTGACACGTTTGCACGTTGACAGGTTTGCACGTTGACACGTTTGCACTTGATATTTGAACTTCGGTTGAAAATCTACAAAGCTTTTCGCTGTTATATCACAGCGTGGGACAATCACAACAGAGCTAGGCTCCAAACTAAGTGAAAGCCCAAAGATCGAATTAGAATTTAGGAGTTGATTTTTGAGGAGGGAGGAAAACCGGAGAACCCGGAGAAAAACCCTCGAAGCACAGGAGAGAACCAACAAACAACTCTACTCACATACGACATCGAGATCGGCAGGACTCGAACTCGTGTCGCATTGGTGAGAGGCGGCGCATTTGCAGCGCACGCCACCCGTGCTTCCCAGTAAGATGTTCAGTTTTTACATCAATGCCTCCCTATCACGCGCTACATCGTACAAATTTGTAGTCGCGACAAAATAGAGGCTTTTGATCATTACGTGGCGGCAGCCGTGTTAGATAGCAGGAACATTACAATCATTTTACAAGGAAAGAATCCAATTCCCGAGAGCAAAGGGATTTTTTTGTTATGCCATCTAACCACAGGCAGTCCAAGCTGTATTATGAACACCGGCACGTGATGGTGCAAAGCCTCTAATCTATAGGGTTTTGGTAGACGGCAATCAAAGTAATTCCATGACATTATTGGAAAACACTCCACCGAAAGTTTTCAAGGGCACGTGCCTATGTAATGTCATGGAAACGCCTTGATTGAACGTCCACCAAATTCCTATTTTGGCAAATTGTATAAGATTTCGAGCGTGTCATGTGAAGCACTGGCATGGAAGACCTTAGAAGCAAAAGGACTACTTCGTTGATGTGGCGGCCATCTTGAATCACAAGGCATTCTGGGTGGTCCAGGGGTCAAATATACAAAGCTTTGTTACGAAAATGGCGCAGATTGACATTTACGGTTAACAACAAAACAAATTTACAAGAGATGAATTAAAATAAATGGACAGTTCCACAATGAGAAAATTTCTCAAATATCGTGGGGTCGTTATTACAGCATCTTTGTTTTGTTTTGCCCCATGGACGACACATAATGCCTTGCGATTCAAAATGGCCGCCGTAATGGTTGAATTAGTCCTTTTCAAAAGTTTGCATGTAACAATATACGATTGTGACCCCAAGTCTTTGCTTATTTGTTTAGGATTCAAGATGAAAGCCCTCGTGTTCTGCGAGAGCTCAAGTTCTATCGCTTGTGCATCAAACGAAGGAATTCTCAATGTTTTCAGGTAACTGAGCACGGAATAAATAGGGGTATTTCACTGAAGAGAGAGTACATTTTATATAACTGTAAAATACATAGTGAGTATTAAGGGTTATTGTTTGGGCTAGAGTAGTCTTTATAGAGACTCAGAGGAGGATCCAGGCTTATCCCATCGTTCATTACCAGTGAGATACGGGACCTCTTTAATAAAACTGACCAATCAGATAACAACAAAATAGACAGAAATTGAACAGATAACAGCATTAGCCAATCAGATTATCACGTTCTCACGCTCTTATGATATCGATGCGCTATCTGATTGGCCGGTTTAAAATATTGAAGTAAATGTCGCAATATGATTGGTTAATGATACTAGTTTATCATAGTAGCCTCGGTTGGTGTATCCGCACAGTAGTAGAAGCAGAAGTATCATCAGAAAGAGATGCACATAAATGTGGCTAAATGAAATTTAGGCGAAGTTAAAATCGAGACAATGCATGCTGCTCAGCGGTCTTCCCAACAATGTGCGGGAGGGACCCAGGGCATGATCAGGGGCTTACTTGCTGTGTTTGCAGTGCTGGTGGATTTGCACCAAGAGTTGAAACCAAAGAAAACAATAATCTCGCAAATGCTTTTGGGATAGCCCTGGATCCTTCTCTGATAGAGACTGTTTTCCCTGATAAAAAGACCAAAAAAACAAGGCTAATCCAAGCGATACATCAGGCAAACATAAACCCAGGGCTTATTTTCGGAGGTTTATGACATTTGATTTTGGTTTTATTCAGAATCGAACAAAGTAACCAACAGCCTTCAGGAAAATTACAAGTCTACCAGAAGAAAATAAACCCAACCGAAGAAGGACACGTGGTTGACATGGCTCATTTTGACACAGGTAAGATGCTTTGTGAGCTTTGATGTACATTGGCTATTTTTAATCGACTGCTATCAGTGGAAGCCGACGGCGCGTACTTTACCCCTCGGTCCATCAGTGCTCTGTTTTAAATAAGAATAACGCACTAGAGGGAAGTCGAGACAAGTATGTACGATCAAGGAGGCCACAACTACTGACCATATGCTTTGCTGTCCACGTACTAACCGTCTTAGCCAACACTTGTACAAAGATATTGACTTCATTCCCTCACGATTCCAAATACCTTTCCAGGAAGATAGAAATTTCAAAACAAGATTTCATTTATTAAAACACGTGCCTTGTCCTCGTACCAAGTTTACCACCGCTATAATAGTAAAGTATAATCGCAATAATAAAAACATCAACATTTCAATCCTGCAAGCACTGACACAATGACGATTGACCTTTCGTGTACCGATAGGTCATGAGATATATTTGCTAATAATCAACTATGATTATCTATTATATTAATTCTTTTTAATTAACTTATTTCTCCTACATTGACACAAGATCCTTTAGGATTATTGTATATTCATCGTTTGGTATCACGAGAATTATAATTTGTTGAAGTTTGACATCTATTGTGTTTTTGGTAGGTTCACAATCAGTTCTCACGTATGCCACGTCAAATGGTTATGTTTGTGGATGGGATCTACGCTCGGCCAGTATGGCCTGGAAGCTAGAGAATGATGCATCACGTGGTAAGACGTTATTGCCATATTTTCACACGCTGACTGATATTTGTGCGAGTCTCATTAGCATTACGCAGCATATAACATGTCTCTTAGCAACAGCAACACCTTCAGGTTTGCAGCTACAAAACTTTTTGCTGTTTGAACTTTTCTCTGCAGTGGTTTGAAAATTGTACTGTTAGAGGCTTCAAGGAGCATTTTGACGAAAATCCGTCCAAATTGGAAACTGATTATTCCTAGTTGAAGTATTTTCAGTAACACAGTAGGAACTTGTAGATAAATTGAATCACCGTAAAAAGCTTTGTGAAACTGACGACTTTCCACTTACTCCGACGAAGGACTAACGTCCGAAACGTCAGTTTCACAAAGCTTTTTACGGTGATTCAATTTATCCAAAAGTTCCTGCTGTTTTATTCAGAAACACCGACGCAGTCCACGCTATTACTCTACTAGTTATCACCACTAATTTCAGTAACGATGAATATATATGACTTGCAAGAACTAATTTACGCAGCGCCCCTCTTTTTCACAATGCAGCACAACGCCTAGCGAAAAAAAGTGAAACACGTTGTGTGTGTTTTCATAAAACAATCGCCTTCAACCGATCAAAAAGATAGATTTATAGCTATTTTATAATTGCTGCATGTGCTAGATGAAATCTTCAATACCAATACCTCCAAGACACGGTTAGTCACCAAAAACCTAGAAAGCTGAGATCACTGGGCATCATGGGAAACTTTTCATATCAAAAAAGCATATATATACAAAGCTTTTTTAATACAAACTGCAGCTCGATGATGCTCAGAAGAGGTGAGACTGTAACCTGTAAAAGATTCGCAAGTCCATGAACAGTTATCAAGCGGTTGAACGTGTAAAATGAATCTACCCATAATCCTGTTCGGCCTCAGCCTTATAGCTTTTCAGGTGACTAACTTTATTGAAATAAGTATATACTATTGTCACATATATTCTTTTTAGGTTTAGTCACATCATTTGTAGTGGATCCATGTCATTGTTGGTTGGTAGTTGGCACAAGTACAGGCAACATGGTTTGCTGGGATCTGCGCTTTCAGCTTCCCATTACAAGTTTAGCACATCCTTCAGGTCAGTAACATGCAGTTGTAGAGCGCATTCAATTTGCATGAGTGGTAAGTTTTATTGTGTATGTTTTTGTCTCGTTACACTGTAATGGCTTCCCATTGTTTTTCTATGAATCATCCAATCATGATGCGTAATTATGGCTACGGTAAGATAGACATCGCTATATTAACAGAGTACGAATATGCCATATCGTTTCCCACTTATACGAAACCACTAAAAAAGAATAAGTTACTCTCGTACTAGCAGTTTTCGTATGACTGTGAAAAAAGTCGGTGCCGTATGCGTGCCTTGACGCGACTGTCATGCTTCCTAGAATTTTGATTGGGGAATTTCTCGCGCAATGCGATTGGTCTGGCAGTTCCGTGACAGTGGGTTGACTGCATCCAATCCGTGTTCAAGCTTTGTTTCGGGAATTTGATTGGATGGAGCGGAGTAAATTCTCGTGCAATGGGATTGGTCTGGTGTTGGCCTTGCCGTGCAACCACCTTTCGTGCCGTGAGCTTTTCACAGTCATACGAAAACTACTCTACCATAGTTCAGCTGTCAGCAGTTTGGGTCAGTTTTCTTTGCGTGGACTCATCAGCGTCGCCTTATGTGACTTCAGCAACATAAGAATATTTGATTGCAGTCTCAACTGTTATAACAGCAGTTTATCTGTTTGTCTGATAGGGGCAAGGATCCGTAGATTAGCAACTCACCCAACAGAACAGTCCTGGGTAGTATCAGCTGTACAGGGGAACAATGAAGTGAATATATGGGACCTGGAGACAGGATCTAGAAGACAAACGCTTTGGGCCAGCAATACACCGCCTTTGTCTCAAACACAGGTACATACATGCTTGCATAGGATCCTCTAACATTGACATCAATTTACTTTAAGAGAGAATTCTTTTCATATTCAAGCAGTGAGCGCCAAAAACTATTTTCTTGAAGAAAGGCTGTTGTACAAGACTAAAATCTCGTTATTCAGAAAGTTTAACTTGTTTGGAAGTGGAGATGACCGATGAAAGTGGAATCAAAGTGTAAACCCAAAGCAAAAGTTTTATTCAAAAATGAGGTTTAGGCCTTCATTTGCTTATTTCCCTTATATTTTCTATAACAAAGCCTGACAAAGCAACATTCTAACACAAATGCAACAAAACATCTTTGTACAATTGAAAATAGCGCTTCAAACAGGCATTTTATCATAGTACATCCGTTTCTAACTGTTTAAAAAAGGTTTTGAGTGTTAAAACAAAACGAAAATTGGGATCAAAACTTAACGAAAGTCTAGTTTTTGGCGCTTTTCGCAATTAATTCTCATTATTGTAAAAAATTTCCTCTTAATCTTCAAACATTACGAAATTGAATTACTTTGTAACAAAATAGCGGTGAGAGCGCTCGCCTCTCACCAGCGCGACCCGAGTCCCGCCRGGCTGGTTCTCTCCTGTGCTTCGAGRGTTTTTCTCCGGGTTCTCCGGTTTTCCAACCTCCACAAAATCCAATTCGATCAGGGAACGAGTTTGTTTGGCTATTTAACGCTGCCCTTGTAAAAACATGGACAATTTTGAATTTGCATAAGACTTTCGTACGATTTTGGCCCGATTTTATAGTCTGTACAGCGAATCAAAATATGGCGACCAACATGAATAACTATTGTTCTGGACTGACAAGCCTCACATACATTATAAAAACGCTTTAATGTTTCCACTTAAACACGAGGCTAGTCAGTCCAGAACAATATTTTGTTATTTAAATTGGAAGCCATATTATGATTCGGTGTATAATCTGCTAATTAGTGCAATGCGTCCAAACGTGACAACCGCATATTTAGGAAATGCCGTGCTTAAAAAATTCCTTTCTAAAACTATATTTGTCGTAACCTATTCATAAGAGCTTTAAAATTATATAGTTTTTTAATGGTTTTATTTAAAATATTGATCAGAGACGGTGATAAACGAGAGACGACACGAGTGAAAAGCGTCTGCGCATGCTCTGAATCCGTATGCAAATTAGTCAAATCATGTGTAAATTTGACTTTCAAACATGCCTGATAAATTGGACTTCGCGAAATGCCAAAACTTAGTGTCCATGCTTGAAGCTTAAGGCTAATTCTTTCATATTGTGCTTGTTAATACAGTATCTTGCACGCATGCGCAAACGTTTTTCTCTAGTGTCACGAGAGACACCATTTACTAAAACATGATTTTGTTTTTCTAAGGTTTCACCTCATGCAGTGCACGCCTTGTACTCAAGTCTTCCTGATACCAGCCCATACATTATTACAGCAGGATCAGACAAGCGTATTAGAATGTGGGATCTAGCATTCCCTGAACACTCACAGATGGTAGCAGGAGCAGCTACAGACAACCTTAGCAATGTTGTTCTGCAGTACAAGTGAGTTGAGTCTTTAAGGCCCTTAATCTATCTTGCAGCTTTTGCAATGCAATGCTGACGAAAGTAGAATGCAACGCTTTCTTAGTCTGCGATAAAACCGTAATTGTCAGCAGGGATATGGAARTGCTGCGCTTTGATTTTGATGGTCTTTCGCGACATTGATTGCATTTCAGGTTGYGGGATAGATGTTACACGCTGTAACTTGCATGCTCGCAACGTTGCGAAACGTAGAAGCAATTTTACGCGAGGCCATTTTCCTTGCAACGTTGCTTTGCCAGTTGCAGAGGCGTGTTACACTGCAATCTTTTCTGCAACTTGCAACGCAACGTTGCAAGGAAAATTGCCTCGCGTAAAAAGTCATTTATCCTGGTACTGACTTTCTAGGGTGACGAGTTCAATCTCAGGATCAATTTAAGGATGAGTGTGAGTGAAAGTAACCTGCAGTGTAGTCCACAACAACAACAGTCTTACTGAATGCTTTTCTCACCTAGATGACTACACTTATCCTGGAATAGACTTTCTAGGAATCTAAATATATTATAGCAAGTGTTTGTTACAATATGACAAGAGCAGATTTCGTGACTGTCAAAAACTGACTTTACGTGCCGTGACCGTGCTGTATATTGTTCGAGTATTTTTATTGCACAAGACCAGGAGTGATCTCGAATGCTGTGGTTGGTTCAAAGGATGTTGTCAATAGATCTTATTCTATTTCAGACCATGTGTCATTCCCTAGAGTATCATTTCTTTGTTTATACGGTTGCGCATGAGAAGACACATGAATGTGGATACAACTCAAACAAAGAATCTTATTTTCAAGAGAATGACACATGGTCTGAGATGGGAAAACATTCCACTACAATGAATAAGGTCTGTTTCAATATTTTCGTGGCAATATTTATTCTTTTAAAGAGGATTGTTCCCGATGCTTGTGATAGTCCATTTAGAATCTTACCTCACCCATCCATTCTAAGAATAAATGTTCTATAAAGATTAAAGCTCTATTGTTTTTACTAGGTCTCGTTTAATAGATGGAACAGAAGTTTTCCAAGAGGTCTACTGTAAACCAAGACAGGGAGCAGTCCATGAGGACATGCCGAGAAGGGGCCCAGAACAGCCTCCTGTGGGACACCATGAGTGCATAAATGATTTAATAGTGTCTAAATCACCACAAAATTTTATTATTACTGCTGGGAGAGATGGTGTGGTGAAGATATGGAAATAAAAAATGGGAAATAGGTCTAAGAATATTTGAATTACGGATATTATAGCAGTATTATAGCAGTAAAAAATTACAACTAGGGGGAAAAATCATAAAGCAAGAGGAACATATAGACTGATGCTTTTGAGAGAGAAAAACATACTTATAACGATCAGTTAGACGTGAGTGTGGAAATTGTAAAATTGTAGCAAGAAAATGTTATAGAAACGAATTATAGAAAGGGAAGTATAGTACTGGTAGAGTGCAGAACCATATATCTGTGAAAAAGTTAACAAACAAAAAATTACAAATTAGTACATGGTGTTGTAGGTTTATGGAACTTGATAATTTGTACAAACTTTTTCACGGACATATGGTATGTATTCTAGTAACTTTGACAGTCTCAAAGAAATACTGATATTTAGTATCATTTCTTGGCCTTATTTATGGGTAATGGAGATCCATTTTTACAACTAGGCCATTGCTTTTAATTTTGAACAACACCCCTAAGTCATTGAGAATAAGGCTTTGCATTGTTGCAATTGTTTCATTGGTGCTATTTAATTGTACTAATAAGTACTATTTCTGAGGTCTGACCTTACCCCAAGGATTTGCACTCACTTTTTACCCTATATCTCAAATTTTCATTATATTCTAATCCTTATTCCCCAGAAGATTTTAGTAATGTGTGTGTTTAGGTGTGGTCTATCATTAGTGATTATAAATCAAGACCTATATCTTTATATTTGTGGGTGTGATTTTTAATATGGGATATTACTGTAGTATAGTCCAACAGGTAATTAATCAAGGACAAAAACAATACAACATAGTTAAAAGAATTAATATTYAATATGTACAGAAAGGTAGTGATTTTCCATATAACAAAATATTAACATTACAAAACTGAAAACAATTTATTTTTTGAGAATGAGTATGTATGGTTTCTTTTAGTGGAATAAAAAATATAACTGTCTTCATTATTAACTTTAGTTAGTCTTTAGAGTATTTCTCAAACCAAACAAATGTTATGGATACCCTGAAACAATGTAGGGGCTGAACTAAGCAGGGCACGGATAATTCACTGATCTACCCTGAATCAATCTCTGTGTTGATCTAAGTCAGGACATGGCTAACTCACAGATCAAACCCTGAAACAACCTCTGTGTTGATCTAAGCCAGGGCACGGCTAACTCACAGATCAAACCCTGAAACAACCTCTGTGTTGATCTAATTCAGGACATGGCTAACTCACAGATCAAACCCTGAAACAACCTCTGGGCTGATCTAAGTCAGGGCACAGCTAACTCACAGATCAAACCCTGAAACAACCTCTG